GCCTCCGCCTCGCCTGGACCAACTGCTGCCCGAAGACCCCGTGGACCTGGTGGCCGTAGAGGCCCGCAGGCAATCCTCCTTGCTTCTGGAGCTTGGAGGTGATCTGATACTGCCGAGAGGCAGTGGTAAACTTCCTGATTTTTGTTGACATCAACTTGTGTTTGTTGTCACGAATCCTACGGGTCGACCTTGCCAGTCTGCCACAGCCAAAGTCGATGCCGAGGTACGTAGCTTGCTTCACACCTTTGATCTGGAGCCCTCGTCGGCGTAGCGCTCGAACAATGGTGCTCGTGTCCTGGATGTTCGTGCACATGATCGTCGACTTGGCCGCAACCTTCAATTGCCTGAGCTTCAATTGTTCATATGTGGTGGTGATGCAGTCGATCATCTCTGTACGAATAGCCCGTCGGGAACCTCTCGTAGTCTGGGATAGGTCGTCGATCCACAACCTGTGCCCCATACGAGGGTGCATTGTCGTGACATGGGCCATGACAAAGTGGGCGAGGGTTTGGCAAACCGCGTGCCAGCTCTCAACCCCTGCACCACACTCTGACTTGGTTCGAATGCCTCAGTTGCTGCACCCATTTGTTCTAAAGCCCGTGGAGCAATACATTGAACCAGTTCAAGATACAGCACCACAGGCGGGAAATTGAGTCGTAATGCTGCCTCCACAAGGGGCTGCCATGGAATGGAGTCGTAAAAGGCCTCAATATCTAACATCGCGTGGGCGTGTTGCATCTGGAAATTGTGAGCAACTTCTTCGTCTATGGATCTCAAGAAGGCTTCCTGGAGGCAGGAGTTGCCTTTCACCGCAGCGTCCCAAAACGTCATCTGCTCTTACTCCAAACTTGGATCTCTTCTTCTCGAATCATTGACCATTCTTCTCGAATCATTGACCATATCGATTGGCCAATCCTATCGCACGGTCGCCCGAAGTCTTTTTCGGCGTGAGCTTAGCCAAGATTAGAAGAATCTGTACTGGCCACGTGAGCGTGGCCTCAATCGCCTCCAGGATCAACGCCATCTCCGCGATACCTGCTGGAGGCAGGCGTTCAAAATCAACTGGAGTGAACCCATCAACTCCTGTACCCGCTCTCGCCTTCATCCTCCTGCACGCCTTGACGATGCTCTCTCCATCAATGGGCTCCAGTGGCCTGTCAACGGCCTCAAGCGTAATACGACTGAACAAATCACACGTGTCGGAATAATTGATGGGTTTGGCGCCCAAAGTTGTTTGAAATGCTTTACCTTCTCGTCCATGATGTCAATGGGATGGTAAATGGCATGGGGACCCGTTGTCACTTCAATCTGCGGCAGTGGCTGCTTCTTCAGAGCCTTGTGCAGGATGCCTGTCGACGATGGCTCCTGCATCCATTCGCGAAGCTCTGACATGGATAATTGTATGGCAATTCTCTGGGCTCTCGCTGCCACCCGTTGTGCGCATCGAACCCATGACTCTAGAACCACCGCTGAGGTCGTGGCTCCTCCCCGAAGTAGGTCAAGCCATCTCTCCCACGGGGGGTCACGTCCTTCACGCAGGACTGTGTGCACGCCCTCGGGTATGTCACCAATCATCTTGTAGCCTGCCTCTCGGTAGTCTTGAAGCTGTCGGGCGCCATTGTCGCGCTCGATGTGGCGACTGATGCCTGCTATCACCGTGGCTAGCCTCGTCCACCACTGCGCTCTCATATCTCTGAGGTGCAGCTGCCGCCGATGAGCTGTCTCTCGCACTCGTCGCACACGGAACTGCGGACCATGGGCACGCGCGACACGAGGTGCACACTCCTGGTGGCGTGCGGAGATAGCTCTCTCGACGGTGGTGGCCCACGCGGCGTATAATCCTGAAATTGAAGCTGAGCGTTTTTCTTTGAGCCTAAATGCAACGGACTTGAGCACGGAGGAGTGACACATTCTAAACAACTGGTCCCCGAAGCGAACCCAACCTCAGACCTCGTCTTGCTCCACAGTTCCTGGGGAACCTTGAAGGAGGGCTCTGGGGAGGGGGCTCCAGGGCCAGTGCTATCAGGCTCAGGCTCTCGGGTGTTCCTTGAAACTCTCTGCTGACTTGAACTTGGATAACGGGGGGGCTGGCTCGAATTGGGGCGAGGGCTGATTGGGGACATGCGCTCGCCAGCGCCATTATCCGAACACAGAGGGGCAGCCTGATCGGCGGCACCTGCTGCAGCTCCAGACCTGGGCGCGGGGGCGGGGTCACCAGCAGGGGGCAAGGAGGGGGGGGGGGAGGGGCCGAGGCGAGAGCCGCCTCGCAGGAGAAATCAGGCTCATCTTCCCACGGGCCAGGTTCGTCTGGTCACTCATTAAGATTAAGTTCAGAGAAAGAGGGGGGCTTACCTTCGGCCGCGCTGTCGCCGTGGGAGCCCTCTGGTTGAGATTCTGACTGAACACAGTCCCCAAAGACGGAAAGCAGAAACTTGTCACGCTTCTGAGTGGCCTCTTGCTGGGCCACTTGACGCTTCTCACGTGCAAGGCTACTCTTGGAGCCAGGGGTGGGGGAGGAGCGAGGCCGAGGGAGCGGGGGGGCCTCCGGGGAGCTCAAGGACCCTCGCGATGAGCTGAAGGCCCGAGCTCCTGAAGGCAATGCGCAAGCCTACGCGTGGCTTCCAAGCCACATGTAGTCAATTAGTCAGGGCCCTGCACATTTGCCGCCACACGGCGCCGCGCGAACTGACGGCGTCGAGCTGCTGGGCGAACAGCGAGGCCTGGAGCACGGCGGGGGACATGTTGAAGTCGCCCACGACGGCCCACGGTAACCTCGTCGCTTTCAGCAGCCCGCCCAAGCGACTGAATCGGGCTCTGTTGGCGCCCCTCATGAGCACAGACGGATGGCCATAGAAGTAGACAACCAACATGCTGCACCCCGTGAAATTGATGACCATCGGCAAGAAACCGTCGAAAGACGACTGGCCAATACTTGAAAGTTGAGACGGGACAACACGTGCTTCAGGAAGGAGGTGGGACTGTAAATGTTTCCCTCCCAAAAAAACATTCCTCCACCCTCATTCGACCTGTGCTGCCTACTGGTCGCGACGATCCCCCCAGACGGCCTGGCAGGATTGTGGTACAATCGGAGCTTCAGCTTTATGGCCCTCTCATCGCATTTTGTAATTCCCCCTTCTCGTGCACATGGGTTTCCAACAAAACCCAAAACTGGCACTCTGTACTGTGGTGCTGGATGTAGTTCCACACCTTGTCACTGAGCTCCGTTACGCTCGCCACGAACATGTGGGTCTCAGCGTCCTGAGCGTCGTCGCCGCAGGCCTGAGGAGCGCCTGCCGTCGTTTGTCATAATGGCACTTCTACCCCGTGGGTGGCCGCCTTGAGCGCCGAGCCCTTGCCCTTCGCCTTGGAGGCCGCCTGCGGCGCCTGAAACTTCGCATCCGACAACTTCTTCGCCTCCTCCTGGAGCCGCTGCTTGCGCTGCTCCATGCTCTCGGTGGGCGCCTTCGGCTTGGTGGTTTCGGAGGTGCTCTCTGCCTGCTCCATCTCCTGCGAAGGTGTCGCGGAGGTGGCGCCTGGCGTGGTCGCACCTGGCACGGCCTCGCCCGTTGTCGACTTGCGCTTCTTCGCCGTCCTCTCCAGGATGGCCTTCTGATGCGCACGCGCTTGTTCCAGCCACTCCTTCACCTCGGAGCTCTTGCCCTCGAGAGCGGACTTGGTAGCGGTGAGGTCCTTCTGGAGCTGTTCGAGCGCCTTGCGCTCCGTCTCCGTGACCTCCATGTCCGACAAACTGTCGAAGAAACTTTGATCCCACTCAACCTTAAACATTGGTCCCTCTGGCGTGGCGCTCGAGTCTGGCTGCAATGAGTGAACGCCCTCTGCCACGGCCAGAGCCTGGGCCGCATTGGCCTTGGCCTCCTTGGCCTCTGCTAACTTGTACGCTGCCATCGTCTCCTTCTCCTCCGCCGCCTTCAAGCTCGCCCTCAGGCGGAGAACGGAGGCCACTGCTTGCTCATGTAAATGTGATGCATTGCAGAGCCTCTGTCACGGCGGCGGCGGCGTCCTTGATCAGGCGCTGGAGCTGCTGCTTCAGCGTGCCCTGCAGGTTCTGATCCTCCATCGCCAGGATGGCCTTCTGCAGGAGATCCGTCACCTCATCAGATCCTCCTGCACGGCGTCGAAGCCCTGGTGAGTTGCTGCGGCTGGCTGGCTTCAGGATGCCCTGGCCGCGGGCCCGCTGGGAGGAGGTGTTCTCCTCGGGCTCGAGGCAGTCTTGGAACTCCCCCTCGTCGTCGATGGAGCGGTCGAAAGACACGGCACGCCGACGAGGCTTGTAGAGCTGCACCTTGCATCCACAACTGTTGCACACATACTTGTTCATGACTAGAACTGAGATCCATTCGCACCGACCACAGCTGCACCGTGTCCACAGAGCTTTGGACAGGAGGAGGAGGAGGAGGAGGAGGAGGAGGAGGAGGAGGAGGGCGGAGGAGGAGAAGGAAAAGGAGGCCCCAGGGGGACCACCAGGCCCCGGCTAGCGACCACCAGGCCCCTGGCGCCGGGGCGGCTGGCGGAGGCAGGGCCAGCCAGGACGCGCGCAAGAAGGCGGCCAAGAGGGAGGTGCAGGGCGCAGGGCGCGGGGGGCGGCGACGGCGCCGGCGGCGCAGCCCGCCGAGGGCGCCAACGACGAGGGCCTAGACGGCGCGCACTAAGACGAGAGCGCCTGCGACCTCGGCATTCGTGGCCTCCTGCGCTTCCCGATCAGAAAGGTCCGCTTCCTCCTCGGGGCCCTGGGTTTGCGAGATTTGCAACGTCATTGCCAACATGGTAGATCCCGACACGACACTGGCGAGCCGCCACTGGCACAAACGGTGGCCACGAGGCTTGGGAATCTGATTGTGAACCCGGGACGCAAACGTTCACTTTTCGCCTCACCAGCCTGGCGCAACGACAACCGCGCTTCGTCCGCCCTCGGGCCACGCAGCCGAGGTCGACTGCACCTCTGTTTCGGGTCGCGCCCTCGGGCTGCCACCACCTGGCATCCTGGCGACCGCGCAGCCAGCTGTCCGCCCTCTTCCCCCTTCCTCCTTCAGACCCAGATATCCAGCGACCTGTTTTTTTCAATCTGGGCGCGTCTGCTGGATGTCGGCCCCCGGGGCTCGTCATCGGGCCCAGGGACCATCACAAAGGGATCCCTCCAGGGAAGGGGTCGGAAGCTCTGAAACCATATCAGAGGATGTCAGGGGACGCATGCTTGCACATTCGTTCCCTCCCCCCCTCCTCGCCCACCTCGAACGGAGCACCCGCGCCGGGCTGTGGCCGCCACGTCCCGAGGGCGGCCCACCGCACGCCGCCGAAAGGCGGGGCGGCGGCATGCCGCGCACTCCGCAGGCGCTGCCGCGCCCGCCCGGAGGACATGAGGTTTGAAGACAGGAAAAGACGAAGCCAAAACGAGGGGCAGAAGGAGGAGGAGGAGGAGGAGAAGGAGGAGAAGGAGGAGAAGGAGGAGGAGGAGGAGGAGGAGAAGAAGGAGGAGGAGGAGGGGGAGGAGGGGGAGGAGAAGGAGGAGAAGGAGGAAGAGGAGGAGGAGGAGGAGGAAGAGGAGGAGGAGGAAAAGGAGGAAAAGGAGGAGGAGGAGGAAGAGGAAGGAAAAGGAGGAGGAGGAGGAGGAGGAGGAGGAGGAGGGGGGACAGTATGCACGCCACGCAGCCAACACTCCCACGCTGCCTGCCGCCGCATCGCCACCTCCTCCCCCTTTCATTTCTCCTCGGAATTTTGTTTATTCAGCTATCCCCCCCTTAAGACGGAATCAGAACGTGGATAACATCGGGCGAGGATAAATCGAGAATCTCTGAGATCCGGCGGTTCCAGAGGATGCACTGGGCGCCGCGGCCTTGTCACAACATCCCGCAACGCTCTGGAACATATTTATCCCCGTCCTGGCCCCGTCCGACAAAATGGGGGCAGCTGACCTGTAGTTCCCGCCGAAGAACATCCAATTTGGGGTTGTTTGGGGGGAAGGCTCCGCCGTCGACCGCTGGGAAGCGTGGCCCCGCGGCGCGCCCTGGCGGTTCACCGCCCTGGGTTTCGGGGGCTGCCCGAACCATTGCTGAGGCCTTCTCTCCCTCCGGAGGGATGGCGTCCCCAAGCGCCCTGTGTTCGACGGCCGCATCCCCACGGGGGGAACCAAGAGTCCGCAGCTCCGAGTACCGAGGGGGAGGAGGAGGAGGAGGAGGAGGAGGAGGAGGAGGAGGAAGAGGAGGAGGAGGAGGAGGGAAAGGCGGAGGAGGAGGAGGAGGACGCGGCGACGCGGATCGCAACGCTGACGATTCTCCCCGCACGGCGCCGCGGCCGCCGCGGCCGAGCGCCCTCGGGACGGGGCCTCTCGGGCCTCGAACACGAAGAGCAGCTCGTTGGCCACGTGGCAGGAATCGGGCACTCTCCAGTGGGAGCTCACCAGGCCCAAGCTTGAAGTAGCTCGCCCTTGGAGTCGACGCGCTTGGCTTTCTCGAGGGACATGTGGGTTCGCGGCGCAGGCCCAGCCCTCTCCTCCAATGGAGCCCAGACTTGATGTAGCGAGTCCGTGGTGTACATGAGGGTTCGCGGCGCTGTCCCACTCCTCCTGTGGAGCCACTCTTGTAGTAGCTAGCCCACGAAGTCGACGTGGTGTATATATGTGAACAACATGCGACATCGCGGCGGACGCCCAACCCTCTCCCACAGCGGAACCCGGACTTGAAATATATGGTTTGGAAGTCGCTCGCCCTCGGAGTCGACGCGCTTGGCCTTCGTGAAGGACATGTGGATTCGCGGGGCAGGCCCATCCCTCTCTTCCAATGGAAGCAAGACTTGAAGTAGCGAGTGGTGCACACGCGGGTTTGCGGCTCAGTGCCCAACCCATTCCTCCAGCGGGGCCCAGACCAAGCTCGCCCTCGGAGTCGACGATTGGCCTGGCAGTGTCGCCGCTCTGATGCATGGGGGAGCATGTGACGAATTTCCCCTTTTATGCAAGTGTTCCACTGTTCGCGACCTGGGCGAGCTGCGCCGCGCCACGCGGAGGTGGTTCGTGTCTGCATGTGCTCGAGGTGCTAGTCAAGGCTGGCGAAACGCGCCTCGATAGGAACTGTTTTCTTCGCAAGCGATGGCGAGGCCAGCCCAGCGACGCGAGCCTCGATGGGAACTGTCTTTCTCGCTGGTGATGGCACTCTCTCTCTTGGAAGGGGAGACACCCGCAGTCGGAACAGCCCGGCCCGTCAGGCGAACGCCGGAGGTCCGTCCCACGAACGGCTCAGCGAAACAGCCCGGCCCATCAAGCGAACAGAACCCGGCCCGTCAGGCGAACACCCCCGCGAGGCCGCCGCGGAGAACCCGCAAATCCAAACGCCAACTCTGGAACCAAAGGCGTCAACCAATCGCCGTTCCGAACCACCGCTTGATCGCACCAAACACTGAAACTCCCCAAAACAACCCCCAAACACCCAAGTTGAGAGTTCCGAAACGGTGCGGTGACTGTCCGTGCGGTGACCTCGAAATCCCCAATACCTCACCGCACGGTCCGTCACCGCACGGTCTTGGGAACCTGCAGGCTCCTGTCGCCCAAGACATCCTCGGAGAAAGGCTCGAGTCGCAAAACCGTGCAATGACCCCGAATCCCCACCGAATCACCGCACGGTGCGGTCACCGCCCCCGTTTGGGGGCCCCCGACCAACGCCAGTGCGGAGCCCCCAAACCATCGACCGGAACGGAACGGAGCGGCACCCAGTCTCGTGCAGCGCCCGGACCTGCGAGGTGCGTGGGCGGGTGGCACTGCAGTGCCTTAGACGTGCTCTCCTGGGAGGGGCCAAGATCCTGTTCCCTCCCCCCTCCCCCTTCCTCCCTCCTCCTCCCTCCTCCCTCCCCCCTCTGGGAGCTGATCGCAGCGATCAGCGAACCCCTCGCTGGGCGGAGGCTAGACGCGCTGGCCTGCCTCTGACCGAAGCGGCTGGCCGCGCAATATTGCTGCGCGCCGTGGCAGGCTTCGGGCCCCCCGCCACGGCGCGAGCAGACCTCCCCCCCGAGCCGGCCTGGCACAGGCGCGAGCGGGCCCGCCGCTCGCACGACAGAGCGCTCGCGCGCGTGGCGGGGGCGGCCTGCCGCTTGAACGCCCACCACAGCGGCATGTCGCAGGCAGACAGGCACGCCTCCGCCGCAGACGCTCGCAGAGGCGGGCAGCAGCAGCCGAGGTTCTGGGAGTGCAAGCTTTGCCAGCGCCAGAACATATACAGTTCGACGTCGTGCAGGTTCTGCTCGCAGGCCGGCACGCAGCAGGACCCTCGCGACCGCGTCGACGACGAGGAGGACGACAACGACAACGATTGGAAGGTTGTGACTCCGAAGAGAAGGAGCAGCAGGCCAAGGCATCGCCATGCCCAGTGGTCGGGCACAGCGCCTCGGCGTTCATGGACATGCGGCGCTCCTTCAACTACGCAGCAGCCAAGGGCGCAAAGTGCAGCGCCACCAGCCAGGGAGACCGCGCAGCAGCCTGCGCCTCTGACGCTCCCGAGGCCCGTCGACCCAGAGGTCGCGCAAGGCCACGGGCTCTGGTTGCCGCCGCCCACCACCGCCAAGGAGCTCAAGACGCACCGCGCCCAGCTCCAAGGCTCCTTAGACGCCCTGGAGAAGCAGATACATGCAGCATATGAGATGGGCCAGAAGGGCCCCGTGATTAGAGAGCTAGAGGTTGACTACTCAGTCGTGCTCTACCAGGTCATGTCCGCCCATGATGCGAAGACGAGGGTGGACCAGCAGAAGGCCCACCTAGAGCGCATCCGCAAGCGCTTGGCCGACGCCCAGAAGCACGAGAAGGACCTGCAGGAGCAGACCAAGACCGCCGCAGTCCACGCGCAGAGCCTCGTGGAGGACGCTCGCAAGGCGGAGGAGCTTCTCGAGCACTTCACGCAGCTTGAAAAGACCGAGCTCGAAGAGAAGGACGCGGCCATGCAGATAGAGTCAGAGGGCCACGAGCACCCAGCTGACCAGCCTACACAGCCCGCCACGTCAGCCGCAGTCCAGCTCGCGGCGACGCAGGCCACCACAGCAATCTCGCCGAGCAGCTGAGCAAGCTCACGGCGCAGATGGCCATCATCCAGTCGGCGCTCAACGTACAGATGCAGGCCAGTGCCGCCGCCGCAGCCGCAGGCGCCTCCGCTAGCGGCCGCAGACGCAGCAGCACCCGCCGCCGCCCCTGTGGCCCCCCTGCCGCCTTCGGCCGCAACGGCAAGAGCGGCTGCCGCCGCCGCCGCCACCCCGGCCCCCCGGCCGATCCCCCCATCCTTGGAGGGAGGACAGTCGCCAGCGGAGGCTGCAACGCAGGCAGCGGAGGCCGCGGGGGCCCGTGCGGAGGCGCCGCCACCATCCGCCCTTCGGCGGCAGCAGGACGCTCGGGCGGACGGGCGCACCCCCCTCATCGACAAGGCCAGGACATCCTCAAGGTTGCCTTCGACAAGTCAGCCCAGGCCCATGCGAGGCGGCAGACCACGCGCGGTGACACCATCGATGGGCTTTCAGAAGACGAATCCGAACGCGCAGATGACGACATGAGTTCCAGGAGCGCAGCGTCCACTGGGCGCCCAGGCTGGGCAGAGTGATCATGCAGCGGAGGAGGCTGCACGTGATGAGCTGTGACAAATAGGTCTGTATGCAGTGAACTTGCATGCGCCGCCGCAGACAGCAGACGGCCCAGGGGGCTGTCCCACTCCCCCACCCTCTCCTACCGTTGAGCAGAGCCTGTCGCACCAAGGTCCCAGCATCAGCCCGATCCCAGACTTGAGATAGACTAAGGAGCTTCTTCTAGGAGGATGGGCAACACCTCTGGGAACCGACATACTTACGCAAGCACAGTTTTCGCGCTCTACCACGGTCTCGGCTTTGGGAACTCTATCGGGCGCCCCCGGGACTTTACCTGACAAAATCTACGTCTACACGGACGGAGCCGCTGGCGGTTTCAACGATTGGAACGATGAGACATGCCCTCCTGCCTGGTCGTTTGTAGTCATCGCGGAAA